GCATACGCCTACAATTGAAATTTAGGCACTATCAAGTTTTTCATTCTCGTTATCTAACGGTTTAGACAACTGACACTGCTACATTTTCAAGGTTTTAAAAAGAACTTTTTGAAACGAATATCTTCCACAGTCCTCTAAAAACTTTGAAAAGAGCCCTAGAAAACTGAAGTGGTGTGAAAGAACACCGAGCTTTAAGCAGAAGAAGAATACAAGTTTACCCAGTAAGCAACAAAGCCTATTTGCTTCTTCAGAGTGGAATTCATCGAACGTTTCAGGAGTGATAAGTGTAAACAATGAAAATTAAGTTGACTGTTTTGTGCCCGAAAAAGAAGGCATTGTTGGAAGACTCTCGACGGAATAAAACTGGTAGAATTTATTGGTTTGCCGACGTCTACGAGAACAGCATCCTGAAAAAAACTTGTGTTTTTTAATAGCTTTAATATTCATTTAAATACTCAAAGTAGAGCGCCGAAATCAGTGCTTCAACAACTTCGTTCCAGCTCATTTCAAACAAAGTGCCACATCACAAGAAAGTCATTATTCTTTTCTCTCAGCGTAGTTTACGAAGTCATTAACGAAATATTATACATTCTCAATCTCTTCTGCCCTAAGAACATTATAAATGCTTACTTGCCCTGCATCAACACAGTTTTTGTGAGAATCACCCCATTCCTGGCAACATATATAGCAGAATTGTGTTCCGCACGTACATGTTATATTATTGCACCCGCCCGAGCGTTGGAAGTATGCGTTACAATGAGGGCACTGACGTACTTTGATATTTATCGGTGGTTGGCCGTTTACTGAAATCCAAAAACAATTTTTTTCATCAATAAATCACCCATTTTTTCTTGAGATTCAGATCTAGTTTGGCCAAAAGAAGAAAACTGAATGAATTCAAGCAACTGAAATGACTGAATAAAAAAAACTTGTTCAAAAAATTTGTTGCTTTAACTCTCATAAAGAAAATGTTTCGAGAAAGTGTAATTCGAATCGTAAATTAGTTAATACTTCCCGAGTAACGACATCTACTGTGAAACTAAGGCGCCTGTTAGTGAGTCCTGTTGAACCAGTATATTAAAATCAAATTTGCTATGAAGACTAGACTATGAACTATTTTCTAACCGCGAAAACCAAACCTGAGCGAAACTCCCGGTACTTTCTGGCATCATCGCACGTCAGTGGCAGATGCGCTTCATTCAAACACTTTGAGCAAACAGTGTATCCACAAGAACACTGAGCCAGTACATTGTTCATTTCTTCACTTCTGATTTCGTTAACAGTTTTGCAAATTTCACACTTGAACGACCGGTAGCTTTTCTCAAGTGCTTTCATTAATAACTTCTCTTTCGTGAGTGTTTCACAGCGATAGCAAAAGTCTAGAGGAAGCACTGCCATCATTTGGTCCCTTCCTATCACCAACTCACAATCATAGTCCTACAGTAACCCGTAAATGAAATTTTTGTTACGTCAAATTTCTTTCAAGCTAAAAATAACCCAAGAAACTGATTATGCTTCTTAACGAAAGACAACGGTAACTGACCAGACATTCAACTGGCAAATGTCCCATGTACAATGAAGTCTTAATATGAGCTACCCAGCAATACTCACAGAAAAAGTGTTTACAACAAAGTGCGACACAATATCGATCCTCCTCAAGACAGTTTTCGCAACTTCGCTTTGTTTGATACTCTCCGGTTTCTCCAAGTGTTACCCAAAACAAAAACCATTAAAAATTAAAAAATAGAACTGGAAGAGATTCTCGAACAAAAAACTTAAATAAATATTAGAAAAAACTTTTTGCAGTCAAATATGAAAAGTCATCAAGTTTTCTAAAAACCTTCTCCAGTTTCTAATTGCTCCGGTCAAGCGACTGAAATTTCACCTTTTTCGAACTACAGGGAGAAATCGACGCTTCATCATCCAAATAGATTTGTCTGACTTCGGCAAAAAGTTTCTGCCGGTCAAATTCTGTCTCCTCCGCCTTTGCATAATAGTTGACGGAACGTTCGGGGTAGCGGTTAATAAAGTTATAAGAATTGAAAATATACCTGAAACATATAAAGCAACATTCACAACAGTCCAAATTTACAAGCCTAGCGTATTTAAAGTGTGTGCGCAAGACACTTTGTAACTGATACAAGTTTTACAAAGCTAATGTCGATTAGAATTAAATATACGGGAAAATTAGCAAATTCAAACCTAAGAACTGCATTTTTCCTAC